TATATTAAGTTAATCTTGAGTCAACTCGATCAGCTCAAAAATCAAATATATAATTCTAAGCAAAAGATATTTAGATTAGTGGTGGCATTCTCCGTCTATATTTCTCCACATTGCCTTCACTTCTTTCACGTTCCTCCTATACCCTTTAATCCTTCTTTTTTTCTTTTCCACCTCCTGTCCACTTTCTCTTTCTCCAACTTCACACTCTACCCTCCCTCCATTTTAAGCCTTCCCCTCCCCAACCTCTTTTCTCATCTCTCTCTCTCTATCTATCTCAATCGCCCTCTCTCTCTCCCTCTCTTTCTCTCCTCTTTCATACTTCTTCTTCTTCTATCTGTAAGTGTGTCTCAGTCTCTCGTAATTTATTTTCCTGCTAAAATAGATGAAAAAAATTATTTTTTTTTTCTTTTTGTAGTAGAAAATTTCATTTTTGAAGAAAAGTTCTGATTTTTTTCTCACTATATAATTAAAAACGTCATTTTTAAGTTCCTTTAAAAAGGCTTGCAGAGTTTAAAACTCATTATGATTTAGAAAAAAAATCTAAAATAAAAAAGTATTTAAGAACATATTCTCAAACACCGAATTAACCAATCAAACAAACCTTCAAAAACTATCAATTTTTATTTTTGTATTCTCTTCTTCATTTAAATATTTTCAAAATATTTTTTTTTCTGATTAATTTTTGTAATGTGATGATAAAGGGGCTTTAATTTCTTCAGCCACAGACATGCAGTGTGAAGACCCCTTTGATTTCATTGACGACTTACTTGACTTCCAAAATGAAGATGACTGGCTAGCAATGATGGATGGTTGCGACAATGGAGATCAGATAGCTCCTCTGCAAACTCCGGAAATCGCCGGAAGAGTTCATGACAGTCCAACCGCCGTCGCCGGCAGCCGGATTAGTTCGGAAGAGGATGCGCTGAGAAGCATGGTAAGTACTACTGTTGATTATTTGAAATTCCTCCTGTTCTGTTTCTATTCAAAAAAATACTCTTCCAAATATTCCAAAAGAATTTTCTTTAAAATTCACTGTGCTTCAAAAATCATGGCCATCATCATTTAATTTTTTTCTTAAACTTTATGATTGATGAAAATTTCATATGCTAAGATCTAATTTATTCAAATTTTTTGCAGCTGCAGCGCGATGATATTGAGATTATAAATCTGGATTGGCTTTCAAACTTCATTGAAGAGTCTGATCTCAACTTTCTCAATCCTATAGCATTCATATCACAGAGCCCAACCCCTATTCTTGAGAACAATAAAGCCTCCACTTCCTCAACCCCAGACCCGCCCACAAGCCGAACCCGAACCCAAACTAAAGGCCCGCGGGCTCAAGTCACCCGACCTATCTCCCCCTCCTCCCTAACCCTATGGGTATCCAAGCCCGAAATTATGGAAAAGACACAAAAAAGTAATGTGGTTGATCGCGATAGGCTGAAGAAGTGTTTGCATTGTGAGAGTCATAAAACACCGCAGTGGCGGGCCGGACCAATGGGGCCCAAGACATTATGTAATGCTTGTGGTGTTCGCTACATGTCAGGTCGGCTTTTCCCTGAGTATCGACCCGCTACAAGTCCAAAGTTTACTCCTTTTGTTCACTCGAATTCTCATAAGAAAGTGGTGGAGATGCGGCAGGAAAAGGCTAATCTAAGCTCACCCAATGGTGATGTGGCGAAATGTGAATTGCTTGATTACATAAGGAATAAGTAAATGTGGCAAATCAAAAGTCAGCTTCTTTTTATTATCATGATGGGTCTAAGATATATGTATAGTCCATCATACTAATCTTAAAGCAAATCCCACGACTTATAGATCCATCATGGCTAAAATTTGATATTATATGACATGGGAAGGGGAGAGCCAAAAAAGGAAGGAAGCAATAGATAATTGAAGTAGTTTATGAAGGATAATGATTTATAAAATGTGTAAAAAGCTTTATTTCGTTCTTGTTTGACAAGTTGATTGATTGATAATTTGTTTATTTAGAATTTTTTATATACCACAAAGATTATGTCTATACTTATTCAAAAGAGTTATAGGGACATTTACACGCATACCGCCTAATTCTTATGTATTTATATATCTAACACTTTTATTTTATTTTTTTATATTTATACCATCTAAATCATTCATATCACATAAAAAAGTTTAGTTTTTAACAAAGTGAAATACGCATGGCAATATACGTAAAAATTAAATTTTAGATTGTTAGACATGTAACTGCATAGAATTGAGTGATATGTATATCTTTCGAGATTATAATAACTCGGGAGTATAATAATAAATTTAAATATATATATTTAGTGAAATATCTCATAAATATTGAATATTAATTATTAAATATACAAAATGTTTTTTCCTCTTTAAGCAAAAATTAAGAATGCACTTTTTAAGCAAGTTGATGTAATAATTGCTCCTTCAATTTTTTTTTCTTGACCGAATTAATTCTTATCCACATTTTTTTTGTAAAGTCAAATTTTAAAAAAAAAAAAATTCCATAAAGAATTTTGATTCATTTGGGGAGTGAAGGATGCATTTACATGCACACCTCCCAATTTTAATGTATTTACATATCTAAAATTGAAACTTCACTTTTGATATATATTTATATCAGCTAAAGGTTTGTTTGGGGCAACTTGTGTGTTTCAGGATAAGCAGTTTATCCTGAAACGCGACCAGCAGGTCGACCCGTGGTCTGCGTTTAGTATAAAAATATAAAAAATACATAATGCAATCTAACTTATAAGCTGCCCCAAACGGGTCCTAAATCTCTCATATCACAACTAAAATAATACAAGCTAACTTTTAGCATTTTATGTATGGGCAAAGTAGAATATATGTAAAAATTAAAATTTAGGGGTTAGATATTTAAATAAATAAAAATTGAGTGGCTGAATTTCAAAAATCTTCCAGAAAGCAAAAAACCAAAAAATAAAATAAATAAATAAATAAAAAGAGGTAACTTTTAACCGTTGATAAGCGCACCACAGTAGCTTTGGGCCAGTACATCCCAACAAGTGGTCTAATTATTGTGAGCGGCGTGCGCTCTCCGATCAGAGCACACTACAAATTCTGCGTGTGCTCTCCGCATGCAATAATCGCTCCAACAAGTGAGGGCAACTTAACTTTGTTTGAAAGCAATCAATCAACATATTTTATACACTTTTTATTCTTAAAATATATGTAATTGCCTCAAAATAATTTGAAATATGGATGAAATAGGGTGGTTAATTTGTAAATGGTAAGATTTTGATGGTCTATATGTAATTGCGTCAAAATAATATTGATGGTTCAATAGATTATTTGTCCAGAGTGAATTACACGGTTATCATTGACTTATTAAAATATATGGTCACTAGGTCTGTCGAAAAAGCTTGTTTGTGAACATCTTGCTCACGCACGAATAGCTCGTGTTCAGCTTGTTTAGCAACTCGCATTTGAATCAATCATTAAGCGAGTTGAACACGAATAATTTTTTTTAAGCTCGAATTATAAAAGAGTTGAACACAAATAACTTTTTGTTCGATCATATTCAACTCGTTTTAGTTCGAAATAAGAAAATTATATATCTTATTAATATCATAATATATTACATACATTCAAATCACCACAGCTTATGTGATTCAATGTTTTATTTTTGCATAGAAATGATGCAAGTTCAAATCCAATACCATAGATCTAATTCTAACTAATTTAAAAAAGACAATTTCGAGCCAACACAAACAAAAATATGTAAATCGAATCAAACACAAACACGCTCCTCACGAACAATTTCGAACACAAGTCAAGTCCAAACTCGCTCAAGCTCAGCTCATTTACAACCCTAATAATACACAAACACAACCATAAAACTTGGATACTAGTTCTAAAATAATAATAATAATAATAATAATAAATTAAAAAAAAAAAACTTGGATTGTAGCTCTAGATATGCTAACCAAAAACATACGTATCACAAAAATATACCACCAAAATTATTTATAAAA